GAGGACAGACAGACAGACGTCCGGCACACAGGTAGCACACCTGGAAGTAGAAGAAGGCCTGGCCGAACCAGTAGTGCATCACAGTGACTTCCGCTGCATCGTGGCTCAGGGGCTTCCAGATGAACTTGGCCATCAGAGTCTGGACCAGGAGGCCACAGACCAGCACAGGAAGGTTGTGTGGTCTGAGCAGTAAGGCTGCCAGCAGGGCCAGTCCACTGTGTATCTCCCACAAGCCCACAGTCCTGGCTTTGTCACCTGCAGCAGCAGCCTGAGCTCGGAGCAAGGCTTTGGTGCCCATGAAGAGGATGCCAAAGACAATGACATATACGAAACGAGCTTCGAGGATGCCCCTAGAAAAACAACACAAGGGTTAGTCGTTAACACTAGCTGGACACGCTCCTGGGATCCAGTGACAGGAGGGGAACACTCCTGCACACATCAGTTCTCAGACCCTCACGGTGGGACGCCTCCAGGTTCACCACACGGCTTCCTGCTAACAGTTACAGACACAAGCTCCACGCAGTCTCTGACAGCAGGAAGGGACTGAGAGGATCCTTCCCATTTGGTCTGATAACCACACAGTGACCAGAAGCCCTAGTCTGCAAAGGGACGGCTAAAAGCCACTGCACTTGTATAAGATCGAGCCCTGCTTACACCAGACCAAGTTTACAAAATGGCGATTCCACAGCAGAACAGGTTCAAATAAATACGTGATCTGTACATGGACCCAACACTCGTCCATCCATTTGTCAAACGGCGCTGTTGCCGTGATGCTAGAAGCTAGGCCCCCAACAGCAGCCTGGTCATCCAGGGGTGACAAGTTTCCGGGGGGCTGCCAGACAAACAAAACACTAGGAAGTAGATAAAGGCAGGCCACTGCTGTGAGATTGTTGGTGGTCGGTTCCGACCCACAGTGACCCTGTGTCCAACAGTCCTGTACCACCCTCACAATCGCTGCTGATGTCACTGTGGAGATCCATCTCGTTGGAGGTCTCTCTCTTGTTCACTGTTCCTCCACTTTACCAAGCCCGATGACTTACTCCACGGACAGACTCCTCCTAATAACGTGTCATGAGGAAGAGACATGAAGTCTGGCCATTTTGGCTTCTAAGAAGCATTCTGGCTGTACTTCTTTCAAAACAGATGTTTGTTCTTCTGGCCGTCCATGGTACCTTCAAGTGCTGACAGTGTTCCACTGCCATGCATAAGCTAGTTTGTCTCTCCTTCTTCCTAGTCTGTCTTCATCTGGAAGCCCAGTGCAACCTGTCCACCGAGGGTGACCCTGCTGGCATTCAAACTAGCTGTGGCATAGCTTCCAGAATCACAGCAACTCACAAGCCGCCTCGGTCCGACACAATGACAGACGAGTGGTGGGCGGGTGAGACAGCCGCAAGCATCCCTTAATAAATGGAATATGGAATGTACAAAATATGAATCTAGGAAAATTGGGAGTCAACAAAAATGAAGCAGAATGAATAAAACTTGATATCCTAAGTATTAGTAAACTGAAAAGTACCATTATTGGCCATTTGGAATGGCACAATCACATAGTTAGCTATGCCAGGAATGACAAATCCAAGAAAAAGGTGATGGCATTCACTATCAAAAAGAACATGTGAAGGTCATATATATCTATAAGTCACCAAGGAAGCCCAGATAATTATTCAAATTTATGCATTAACCACCTAAGCTAGTGATGAAGAAATTAAAGAATTTTACCAAATTCTGCAATATGAAATTGATCAGATAAGCAATCAAGATGCATTAATAACTACTAGGGATTGGGATTGGAAAGTTGGAAACAAGAAGGAACGGTAGTTGGAAAATAGGGACACGGTGGTGAAAAGGATGCGAGAGATTTCATAGTCCAGTCTGCAAGACCAATGACTTATTCATTGCAAATACCTTTTTTCAAAACCATAAAAGGTGACTATATACCTTGTTGTCATCAGACAGAACACACATGTGTGGGGAGAGACAACAGAAACAATCCACATGCCTACAAGGAAGCTACTGTCACTCTTAGTCACATAGATGAACCAACCACTAGGCAGTGATGATGACATTGAAGAATTCCAGCAACATTTTCGCTGCAGTTCATAAGGTTTGCCGTGGTTACACATTCAGAAACGGTCTGCCTCTCCTCCTTCCTATCTAGAAGTGCGCCATGGGTGACCCTTCTAGGATTCACAATACCTGTGATGCAGCTTCTAACATCACAGCGACACGCAAGCCACCAGAGATGAGTGGGCCGAGAGCTGCTTCTGTCTGAAATTGATCAAACATACAATCAGTATGCATTCCAAGTCCCTGGAATACAAAGGCTGGAAACCAACCTGAATGGTCAGTAGTGATAAAATATGGCCTTGGTGATAGAAAGGATGCTCAGATAGTTTTGCAAGGCCATTGACTTATTCATTGTAAATACCTTTTTTAAGCAACATAAATGCAATTACACACACGGACCTCACCAGATGGAGTACACAGGATTCAAATTGCCTACGCCTGTGGAAAGAGACAAAGGAAGCGCTCCAAAGAGGCCAGGGGCAGACTGTGAAACAGACCATCAGTTGCTCGTATGCAAGTTCAGGATGAAGCTGAAGCCCAGACAGCTGTGGGATGACACCTATTAACACAACAAAAGGTCATTGAACAAACAGGAAAGTAAGACAGAACCAAAATGGATGTCAGAAGAGATTCTGAAACTTGCTCTCTAGTGTAGAGATGCTAAAATAAGGTGGAAGAAATGAAGAGGTGAACGAGCTGAACTGAAAATTTCGAAAGGCAGCTGGAGAAGACAAATGACACGTATTACAATGAGATGCGCAAAGACGTGGGGTTAGAAAACCCAAAGGAATAACACCCTCAGCATTCCTCAAGCTGAAAGAACTGCAGCAAAAATGCAAGCCTCCACTTGCAGTATTGAAGGGTTCTAATGGAGCCCTCTACAGGGTCACTGTGGGTTGGAATCGACTTGACGGCATTTAACAACGACAACAGAGTCCTGGTGTGGCGCTGTGGGTTAATGCACTGGACTGTAACGTCTACCTGGATTGCAAGGTTGGAGGAGGTTCAAGCTCACCAGCCGCTCCTCGGAAACCCTATACAGGTTGCTATTGGTCGGAACCGATTCGACGGCACTGAATAACAACAACAACAACAACAACGTGGGCAAAATACTGACTGATGCAGAAAGCATCCAAAGAAGATGGAAGGAATACAGAGTCACTGTACCAAAAGAACCGGTCAATGACCAACCATTTCACGAAGCAGCACATGATCAAGAGCCAATCGTACTGAAGGGTTAAGTTGAAGCTACAGACAAAATATTGCCAAAAACACAAGGTTCTAGGACTGCATGGAATACAAATTGAAATCTTTCCACAAACTGATACACCATTAGAGGCACTCACTCATCTATGCCAAGAAATTAGGAGGACAGCTACCAGACCAACCAACCAACTGGAAGAGACGCAACAGAATACCGAAGTCATAGAACAGTATCATTAATATTACATACAAGGAAAATCTCGCAAAACATAATCCACAAACAGCTGCAACAGTGCATTGACAGGGACCTGCCCGAGGTTTAAGCCAGATTCAGATGCTATATAACGAGGGTCTTGATACGGCGCTGAGGGTTTTGTGCTAGACTACGAAGCAATTTCAACCACAAGGTCAGCAGTTCAAGCTCATCAGACGCTCCTAGGAAACCTTATACAGGGTCACTAAGGGTCGGAACTGGCTTGATAGCACTTAACAACAACAATCTCTGTTGACATCAGATGAATCTTGGCTGCAAGCAGAGACTACCAGAAAGATGTTTATTAAGTTATGAATAACATTGTGAAGAATGGGTATCCCAGACCACATGATTGTGCTTATGAGGTACCTGTCCATAGACCAAGAGGTAGTTGTTCGAACAGAACAAGGGGATACTGAATGATTTGTAATCAAGAAAGGTGTGCGCCAGTGTTGTATTCTTTCACTATACTTATTCAATCTGTATGCTGAGCAAATAATCCAAGCAACTGGAGTATATGAAGAAGAATGTGGCATCAGGATTGGAGGAGGACTCCTTAACAACCTGTGATATGTAGATGACACAACCTTGCTTGCTGAAAGCCAAGAGTATTTATAATAACTTACTGATGAAGATCAAAGATCACAGCCTTCAGTATGGATTACATCTCAATATCAAGAAAACAAAACTCCTCACAGTTGGACCAACTAATAACATCATGATTAATGGAGAAAAGATGGAGGTTGCCAAGGTCTTTGTTTTGTTTGGCTCCACAATCAAAACTCATGGAAGCAGCAATAAAGAACTCATCCAACTCAGAAAGAACACAATAACATGGGGCGAGGTTAGTTCTGGCTGTGTGTATTGTTGGACGATGGATTGCATTTTACTTTCTGTAATTAAGCACAATGCTTCTCCGCCGCGGCTACACCTCAGAGCACGGGTAAGATGGCACTATTTATTACTAGTAGCGGCAGGAGTATCAGAACCTAACTTTGAGGGTAAAGTGAAGCAGGATCAGCCTATGAGATGAAGGGCCTCCCAATTCTGACACCAGCCATCCCTCCCAGGGCACTGTTTACTTCACTATGGGTTTCATGCTCCATGGCAATGGCCACACAGAACTCACAGAGCACTGAGAGGGAAGTAGTTTACTAAGGAACAGGCAAAACTCGGCCCAGGTCCAGGACACATGTAGGCAAAGTCTCCCTGCAGTGCACAGTTTCCTCAATTCCTACCTGACCTTACAGGGTGCATCTCAGTCCCTAAGGACAGACTCCCCTCAGATCCTCAGGACAGACTCCTCTCAGATCCCTCAGGACAGACTCCTCTCAGATCCCTCAGGACAGACTC